GGTTAAATCAAGAGCCCTATTCAGGCTAGAGAAGAGACAGAGCAAGTGTTCATTACACAAATCAATTTGGTCAAAAGTACAGCATAGTGGGTACTCAACCATTGCTCACATAATATTGTCAGCTTAATCAAATAATGCCTAGAAGACATTCACAAGCTCTTCCTTTCTCAGAAATAACTTGATTGGTGCAGCAGGAAAAAACAGGTGCTGTTTGGAGCTTTTTTTTTTTTTTTTTTTTTTTTTTATTTGATGAGTTGGGTGCTTTAAGATTTCTAACTGTAAAGAGCTTTGCCAGTATGCGGGTTTGTATACATGAGAAACGCAGTGTAGTACCTATGTTTGCCATTGAATATATTGTAAAAAATACTATGTGGCTTTTCTTCCCGTAAATATTTTACATGTTATTCCTACTAGAATTAGGCTGTTCTTCCTCTAGACTTGGTGTGAGTTTAAAAAATACACAACCGCATTGTATTTGCTTACGGGTTATAGAGGAATGATCGAGACTTGGTAAAGCTTTTTCAAGCTGTTCTAATACAACGTATTTTCAGGTTGTCCAGGAAGAGATAATAGGTTTAGTTCAATTTTAGGCATTCCTACTGTTTATGTTCCATTTATTCTTCAAAAGCTGAGATTGAAGACAGCGTTCTTTCTGTAGTGGCATGCCAACAGCTCTTCTGTGACAGCATTTCATTACGTTTAAAAGAGGGTTTGTGGGTGAAAGATTCTGTCTACACCACCATTGTTTTGCAGAAAATTGAAGAGATTAGTCAATGAAAGCGTAACACTTACAATTCCAGTGTAAGAGACAAACTGAATCAGGATGTTGTTAGTAATAGACGGAAAGGGATAGAGAAAATATGTATTTGCTGGAAAGGAGAATGGATTTGCTTTTTCTGTCCAAACAGTGTGCATGAGGCCCTCTCTGATTTCAGGTTTGCTGAACATTCTGGTTTATTGCATGTGGTGCCACAGGTGCTAAAGATGAGAGATGGCACTTTTGTGTCCAGTCAGGAATAACCTGGGAAATGGGTTTGTATTAGAGATGACGAAGGTTTTAAAGCATGCTTCCCCTCCATCCCTGCCCCCAAGTGTGAATTTCTGGGTGAAATATACTGCAAATTGGGATTAGTACAGGGAATTATTACTATTTGCTGAAATGTTTTAGAAAATAGTGCTTTTCAGTTAAATTCAGGTAAATTACAGTATTTCTTCTGATTCTATATTGCAGTGCAAGATGATCCTGAGGCAGCACACTGCATCCTGTGTGCTTTTCAGGTGAGGTGGAAGGATCTAAGACTCCCTGGGGATCACTTGCCCCAGAAGGAGCAGCAGCTCTTTAAGGACTAGATACACGCTTAACAGGTCCTTCAGGAGTTAAGCGGGAGCCACTGCCTGCACTTGGGTAATTGCTGCACAACAGATACTATTAAGATTCATGACTGCCTGTTGCCAGTTGTTAGAAGGAACCTTTCCAACTACTGAATTTCTAAAAACTTGCAGCATAACTGTCACCCCTCATTTTTCATTGCATTTAACCTCCTCTCAGTGAAAATGGAGGAATTAGTAGTAGTGACAGTTGTGGGAAAAGCTAGGCTGCCTAAAGTATAAATACATTCTGGTTTTAATTGATTTTAAGAACTTGACTTCAGTGTGAAGTCTTCTAAGAACTTGTGAGAAGTCTTTTAAAGAATACAAGGCTTCTGTTTCTGGACTTGAGGTCAGGAAACAAAAGTTTAGCATAATGGGAAAGAAAGAATTTCTATACAAAACAATAGATTTTATTTTAACTGTCCTGATGGTGGATTTGGTTACAAAGTATACCATGTATTTATACTGCAGGTATCTTTTATGAAATAAAAAAGGTCATTTTCTGAAACACCTTCTTTGATTTGTGTTTGAATTTTAATTTCTTTTAACACCTAAGCCTTCAGTAGCTCACTAAAATAAAGGGAGCTAATCTCAATTTATTTCTGTGTGTGTGAGCATTTGGTCTTCTACTTTTGTATTCGGTATTTGTAACTTTCATTATAAGTTTTAAGAGTACCATATATTAAGATTTTTTAATATTTCATAATTGCAAATACGTGGTGGAATAGGAACCAGAAATCAGTCTGACTGCATACAAGACTGCAGGGATATAGCAAGAATAGTGTCCTATACTAACTTCAATTAATTTTTGAAGAAATATCGAGCACTGGTCTTTAGATCCTCTAGCAATGAAAATATTCTCTTGAAATGTCTTATGTATGTGTAAGGTAAGTGGCATTTTAGCTCTTTCAGACTTTTCAGGCTTTGAAACTTTCCTTTCTGAGATTTCGCAAAATGCAGCCTCTGCTCTGTCCTCTGTGTATTTTACCTCCTTGGTGTTACTGGAAGTTTTTGTATAAGCTTCACATTCCAGTTTCAATTTGTAGTTATCTTTCTCTAGATCTGCTAGGCACATCCACAGATTTCTGGATGATAATATGCTTTGTAAAGAGACTGTTACATTGTCAAGCCCCTTAATACATTTTAAATGGCTTAGCTATGTTAATTCTGGCACTGACTTCTTTAAAAGCATTGACAGGTGTGAATCTTTGATGTTGCTGACTTTCTGAAGAATCTGGTTTTCAGTCCTCACTGCCCAAACTCTGAGACACTCTTTGCTGAAACTTTAAATTTTAGGCTTCTGTGAATAAAAGTGGTAAAATCAAAAAGACATACCCAGAAAATAACAGTGCTTGGATTTATTCGCTTCACCCATCATTTGTAGCTCCTGCATTTGAGCATCATCTTCAGAAACCTCATTGGCTTTATGTTGGCAATATGTCTGTTCAGCTTCTCATGTGGAAGGTGCTTGTAATGTTTTGGTATGCTAATAATGCACGGTTCAAACCTCCTACTCCTTGTTTCTCATCATTTATGATGAGCAGAAATTACTTTTTCCGATTTGCATTTTTACAGTATTCTGATTATATATTTCTTCAGGGGGCACCTTCTGTTTCTGAAGCTAAACAGCATCTTCAGAATTCTTTAATTCTCTTCAGATACATCTATTTGACCCTAAATTCTTCTGGAGTGTTGTATTTCAAGTTTCCAGTCCCCACCTGCTCTTATATACCGAATTTCCTTCATATTTCTCTCCTTTTAAGGCCTAAAGGTACAAGGTAATCTCTCTGGTGTCTATGGATGGAACAGTTGCCTAAAATGTAATCTTTTAGGTTTTTAGTTGGGTTTAGATAATAAGACGTTAGTGTGGAACATGTTTTTGTCTCTTAACAGCTATATATCATGTTTAGTAGTAAAATCACTAGAAATTTGTAAAGAGGAACTTCAGTTGGTTAGTTTGTGGGACCCTGCCTGTGAGTTCAGGGAGTAGCAGAAGAGGTATGATAGCAGTGACTCACCTTTAGGCTTACACTTGAGCTGTTCCCAATTCCGTGCTTGGATCACTTGAAAATCCTTCTTTAGTGCACACAAAAGTTTGTGTATGAGTATCATCGTATTCCATGAAATGTAGACACTGCTGATGAACAGATCCTTCTGCAGAAATGATAAAGACCTATATTTGGGAAGTATTCTTAGCACAGAATTATAGGCAATACGGGAAATTATAGAGGTTTGTACTTTTAATTTGAGAAGATTTGCATTTGTGAGGGAAGATGGTGTTGAATTTAACTTGCTAGAATTAGATTTATATGTAGTTACTGCTGATGTAAATGATTTATTCTGTTTGAGTTCTTTTGCTTCCTTCTTAACAGGCTTATTGGTATTAAAACTGTGCTAAGGTTTATTTTCTTAAACCACTTCTATTTTGCTTTAATGGTGATCTCTTAAAAGAAATTTGATACTAGCAGAAAATGGGAGATTTCTTCTTTTGCGTTAATGAAAAAAGAAAGATAAGCTGAACTGGAACATTAGAACGCAAGAGGAAAATGAAACTTGGAAGATGAATATGGTCAGAAGGAAGAGGAAGGACAGAGAAAATAGAGTAACAGTTGTAAGATGATCCTTTCATTCAGCTGTTTTCTTTCCTCCTCTTTTCTTCCAAATCCCCTCTACCAGTGCAAAAGAAAAAATTATGTTGTTCTTACATACCTATAAAAAATCTTTTTTCTAGTGAATGTGTGCTGTACACAGTGATTAATTTGGCACTGTATGATGTAATTAAAGAACAGATGAGAAATTTCTCTAATATACTGATACACCAGCATTGGTTAGTTTTACTTGTTGGATAAAGGACATTATGTTTTTTCCTAATCTCTCTAGGAGTTTATAATTCTGTTTGTATGTCAAATTGTAATACTCAGCAATGTCCTTCAATTATAAAATAGCCTTTTAAAACTAGGGAATAGTATCCCTGTGAGAAGTACCAGGATATGATCTTACTTTGGTGAGAAAGAAAACGTGTAAAACTTTGTTTCTGGGTCATACTTTCATGTCAGGTAACATTCACCATTGATTATACTTCTATTCCCTTTCACAATTCAAGTCCTTTTCCATAATGGTGACCATTTATCTGTACAAAATAATTCTCTAGTGCCCATCAGCAACTAGGATGTGATGTGTTACTGACCTCCTATGTAGAATTCCCAGTGGCTTCTGAATGAAGGTGTATAGCTTGACTCTGCAAGTAGGCTGTTTGAACATGTGTGAACATGTCCAGTCTCTTCCGTTGGCAAACACTGATGAGGTTAAAGGGAGTTTCAGCAGTCTTATAATGTAGAGAGACATATTTATTCATGATTTAAAAATACGTAAGAAAATCAATAAATAATCGTCTCCTTCCTATCCTCCAGTTTATTCCAAATGCATATTAAAAGGGTCACTGAAAACATACTGTTGAGACAGATAAAGAGATGGATTTGATTTTCAAGTATTTCAACATCTGGTATTCTTCAGTACCTTTGAGCAGATTTGACTCCTTTTTAGTCTTTCTTGAGAATTCAAGCCCACCACTTTATACTAAAAATAGCAGAAATACTTACAGTGTGTTTTATTTTGATTTACCTTTTTAGCAGACAGATGATGCAGCACAGACCGATGGCCAGCAACAGACACAATCTTCTGAAAACACAGAAAACAAATCACAGCCAAAAAGGCTTCACGTCTCAAATATACCATTCAGATTCCGGGATCCAGATCTTAGACAAATGTTTGGTGTAAGTACTCATCCTTCCTTTCTTTATGCTTTTTTTTTTATATATATATGTATTTGCATTGCAGGTATTCTATATTATAGGTAGCCATGACAGCAGTATTTCTGATTTAGACTGCGTAACCATTTTTAATAAAGATTCTCTTTTCATTTATTTATAACCAAACATCTGATTTGCCAGTCACAACTGGGAAAAGAAATTCTACTGATTCTGCTGTATGTGATATAGATGGGTGTATTCTATGTCTTACATTGTTTCATATTACATTCAGAAAAAGCTGTTTATGTTGACTTAAAATACTG